GTTGATTTCAAGAAAGCTTACGATTCTGTTGAGTGGTCTATTTTATTTAAAATAATGGAGAAAATGGGCTTTGGTTCCAGATGGAGGGGTTGGATTAAGCAGTGTGTAACTACAGCTTCTGTTTCGGTTCTTGTAAATGGAGTTCCTTCTAAGGAATTCTCAATGACTAAAGGTCTTCGACAGGGTTGTTCTCTGTCTCCTTTGTTGTTTAACTTAGTAGGGGAGCTACTTAATTTACTGATTCGAAGGGCTGTGTCATAGGGTTTATTTTCTGGAATGGTGATTGGTAGGGAACAGGGGTATGTAAATGTGTCCCATTTACAGTTTGCTGATGATTTGATTATATTTTCTGGTGCTTCGAAAATGCAAATTCAGAATGTCAAAAGGGTGCTTCGAGTTTTTCAAGTGGTTTTTGGTCTACAGTTGAATTTGAAGAAGAGTAAATTGTTTGGAGTTAATGTTAATGAGGTGGAACTGCTGGAATGGGCTACTACTATTGGATGTTCAATTGGAAGATTTCCTTCTGAATATCTAGGGCTTCCCCTTGGTGCTACTAGAAATTCTGCAGCTATTTGGGAACCTGTCATTAATAATTTTTTTAACAAGCTAACCGGGTGGAAGGCAACATCTCTTTCTTTAGCAGGGAGACTAGTGTTGATTAAGGAGGTTCTTTGTTCGCTTCCTACATATTATCTTTCTATATTTAAAATTCCAGTTTCGGTTCTTAAAATCCTTAACTCTATTATGTCCAATTTCCTATGGGGAAGGGGAAATGGCATTAGAAAAATTCACTGGGTTAGCTAGTCTAATGTTAGCAAGTCGAAGAGTGAAGGGGGCTTAGGAGTTCTTAATCTTAACTTGATGAATAGAGCGCTTTTGGGGAAATGGACTTGGAGGTTTGCAAATGATAGGGATTCAGTTTGGAGGGAAGTTGTTTGTGCCAAATATAGACTGGATTCTTCAGTTTTAATTCTTGACAGTAAGATTCCACCTAAGGTATCCTGGATTTGGAGATCACTGCTAAATAATCATTTTAAAGAAGACTTTTTGGCTCAAAATTTAGAAGCATGTGTAGTTTTCATGTTGGTGATGGTAAAACTATTCGGTTTTGGCAAGATATTTGGGCTTTGGATCATCCACTTTATGTCACTTTCCCAAGACTATTTTCTATTTCCATAAATAAGTTTGGGAAATTATCTGAATTTGGGGAGTATATCTCTTTCGTTTGGAATTGGGATGTCAAGTTTAGAAGAAATCTTCATGACTGGGAACTTGAACACTAGTCTAACTTGTTGGCTATCATTACAAATTTTTCACTCTCATCAGAATTTTTTGATCGTTTGATTTGGAAAGGTACTGGGGATGGGGTTTTTACTGTTCTTTAATCTATTAATCTATGTTCATCAGAGACTTTGGGATCGGAGGTCTTTTTCTGGAAGAAGATTATTTGGAAAGGTATACTGCCTCTAAGAGTAGTGTGTTTTCTTTGGCAGATCGCTCATGGGAAGCTGGCTGTTAGGACTGAACTTGTCAAAAGAGGTGTTCAAGGAATTGAAGATGTGTTGTGTCCCCTATGCAAGATGTCGGATGAGTCTCCCTCTCATTTGTTTTTCTCTTGTCCGGTGGTGTGGTCTCTTTGGAATAAGTTTTTAAATTTTTGGAGGATTTTTCTGTTTTACCAGCGGATGCTAAAAGCTTCTTTCTAGCTTGGGATGGTTTGAAGTCCAACTCTCCGATTTGGCCTTCTATTCCAGGGGTCGTTCTTTGGACCACTTGGAAAATGAGGAATTTTGTGGTGTTTGAAGGGGGAAAGTTTGATAAGGTAGAATACTTCTTTTTAGCAAGGTTTAGGCTTGTTTCTTGGTTCTTAGCATAGTATAAAGAAGTGTCTATTCCTAAGGACTCACTCATTTTCGATCCTTCTCTTGGGGACTTAGTTTCTCTCCGCTTTAATCAGATTACTCCTAGTTTACTTTGGTCTCCTCCTCCTATGGGTTTTGTTAAATTAAATGTTGATGCTGCCACTACAAGGGATTGGAAGAAAAGCGGGTTAGGAGGAGTTTTAAAAGATTCCTCAGGTTCTACTATAGGCTATTTCAAAGAACCTGCTGGTCCGGGACCTCTGACGTTAATGGAGTTAAAGGTTCTTCTTATGGGGTTGTCTTTCTTTGCAAATTTTTGACAGTGTATCAAGGACCGTTTGATTATAGAGAGTGATAGTAAGGTGGATGTAGATTGGATTAAGGGGGTTGAATTATGTCCTGTTGTGTATGCCTTCTTGATTAAAGATATTTTTCATAGGCTTAATGCCTTTGGAGGTGTTGTTAAATAGGTTAATAGGACAACCAATTTAGAGGCTGATGCCTTAGTTAAAGAAGGCATAGGCGGAGTTAGTAAAGTTGTTGATGGCTGTTTAGGGTTGGTTCTTGATTTTCTGTGTTTTGTAAGGGGATTACTATTGTTGTTTTCGTTGTAATTTATTATGATGTATAATATATAGGCACTCTTTTCCCCCTTTCGCTGATTAAGGAGCTTCCCTACAAGATCCATGAATCAAGAAGGGGGTTAACGAGGCCTAGCATTCTTATCAAAAAAAAATTTCTCCGATTCCACCCTGCTACCCATCACTTCTTACCGCCCCATCCACATTAAATTTAAACTCTATTATGGCTAGATTCCTTTGGGGAGGGTCGTCTGAGAGGAAAAAGTTACATTGGGTTAGGTGGTCAACTGAATGTTCGCCAAAGGACTGTGGGGGGTTGGGAATCTCTAATCTTCAGTTAGTGGATAGAGCCCTTTTAGGCAAATTGGTGTGGAAATTCTCTTCTGAAAAGGATTCCTGGTGGAAAAAAATGATATGTTGTAAATATAATTTGGATTGTAATGACATTATATTGAAGAAGTGCCTATCTATGCTTCTTGGTTGTGGAAGAATGTTGTTCAAAGCTGGATGAAAGAGGATGCTTTGGGTGAGTCTGCTTGAAATTTGCTGTTTCTGAAAGTTGGGATGGGAAGTCTATTTTATTTTGGCATGATGTGTGTATTGGACGGATGTCGTTAAAGAATAGGTTCCCTAGAATGTTTGTTTTATCTGTTAATAAAGGGGGGGGAATTTTAGACTTTGGTTCGTTCTGCTCTTCATCTTGGGTTTGGGATATCAAATTGAGGAGAAATCTGGTGGATTGAATTGATGAATTTATTGGAGACTGTGTGTATTGATTAGAGAAGAGATAATTGTTTGTTGTGGAAAGGGTGTGGTGATGGTGTTTTCTCGGTGAGGTCTTGTCTTAAGGGCAGGTACAAGGTGTTGGGGACTGGTTAGAACTGGGTTACTATGGTGTGGAGTGGTCTAGTCCCTCCTAGGGCGGAATCCTTCCTTTGGCAAGTTGTGTTTCAAAAGTTGGCGGTCAAGTGAGTTGTTGAATAGGAAGGTTCCTGGTATTGTGGACAATCAATGTCCTTTATGCGGGTTGTTTCCAGAGTCGGTTTCGCATTTGTTTTTCACTTGTTCTGTGTCTTGGGAGCTGTGGTGCAGGTTTTTGCGATTTTGGAATGTTCAATCCCCTATTCATTTTGTTCCTACCTTATTTCTTCAGGCTTGGTGGGGGCTGGCTTCGAAGTCTGAAATCTGGAAATTTATTCTTGGAGCAGTGTTGTGGTCTATATGGAAATACAAGTATCAGTTAGTTTTTGAGGGGGGTCTAAGGATTAGCTTAATCTCTTCTTCCTTGCAAGATACAGACTGGTGGCCTGGTTTTATGCTAAACATAAAAATTTCTCTTAGTCTTTGATTGTTTAATTGGGGACCCATATGTTACGGATCAGTGTGGCAGACAGAGGAGTATGGTGTTATCTCGATCTGTATGGGTTCCGCCTTCAGCGGGATTCTTCAAATTGAGCGTGGATGGTGCTGTCACTAGTGATTGGTTAAAAGGGGGTATTGGCGGTATTCTCAAAGACTCGGGGGGTTTTCTGTTGGAGTCTTTCTCCGAGGCAGTTGGTTAGGGTCCTCCTACAACTGTTGAAATGTTAGCAATTATAAGCGGTTTGAAGCTTTTTATTGATTCTATTTGGGGTAGCAAAGGGAGACTAATTTTAGAATGTGATTGCCTAGCTGTGGTTAATTGGATAAATAACCAAGGTAGGTGTCCTAATTCTTTGAGTCTTATGTTGAATGGGATTTACTGTTAATTAGGGATTGGGATGTGGTGGTTAGGCATATTTCCAGAGGGACTAATTGGGAGGCTGATAAATTGGCGAAAGAGGGATTTGGATGAGTGGGGTTGTGTGTAGGCAAGAGGAGGTAGTTTTGGGGGGTATTGTATTGTTATGAAAGTGGTAGCAGTAGGATGATTGTTGTTACCTATATTGTAATATCTTTGATTTTCAATAAAATTTTGAGACACTCTTTTCCTCCTTCCTATGTCCTATGAAATAGTGATATTTCATAGGTTATGAAGGGGTTTTTTCAATGAGGTCTCCCATTTCTATAAAAAAAAAACCTGTATATGAAATTCTATAAAAGTTCTAAACTCTACAATGTAATTATTAGCTACATGATGTGTCTTCATAATACCATAATCTAAATTATCCTTCTAATTTGAAACTGTCACCATTTATTTAGTGATTGGTTTATTCGGCCTTTAGAACTAGTTGGAGAACTTGTTTTACACTGAAATAGCTATGTGTACTTTTTGGGGTTTTCACTACGTTCTGGTCTTGTTTAGTTTCCTAGGTGTTTTGAAGTAGAATTATGTTGAATTTATATATCCGCCATTTCCAATTGCTTTTTTTAAGCTAAAAGGCCATCAAATCCTTTAATTTCAAAATTAAATTGCGTGTTGGAAGGCTGAGAATGTGTTTGGGTATACTTATTTATTTCCCCCCTCAAAGCTCTGTAAGGTTTATGTACCAAGTTGGTATCTTTATCAAACATTTTTATTTGTGATTTACTTGCTTTTTAAGCTTCTGCTTGGATATTAATTTGTGTATTCATGCAGGTGGATGCTGCACTGGCGCTCCTTGGAAGCATTATTTCAAATGTGAGTGTTATTCTACCGACCAATGACCTACTAGTTAGTAATAGGCTGTTGTATTTTTATTTAATTATAATGTCCCAAATTACTCTTGGATTCGCTCCTTATTTAAATGTTCTTATTTGGTTTCCACATGATTTTGACTTTAGGATTTGTCAATCACATATGTTGTGCCTCATGATGCATGGGATCTTCGATTATTTAAAGAGACTCCTTCATTGTAAGTTCCCTTACTTTTAACCTGATGAAAATATTTTTCATTAAGAGGCTTTAATGAAAAGGTAAATAAGTTCTAGCTCAATGTGTTTTAAAAAAGCTTTCTTAACTGATTTTCTTTGCTAAATATTACGTGTGAAATCAAGGAAGGAGAGGAACACTATTTGCGTCGATTACTTAACTATTACTAGGATCGGTTTATTAGTATTTTATTGGGAAAAATATTAGATCTTATATATGAATATTTTGTCATTAGAAGTCTTTCCTTAGTTGGCTATTACTAATGGAAGGGGCATTTCTCCATGTTTATCCTGACTTTGAGCTTGAGGACAAGTTCTGTCCCTGGGAAAGGGATAATATTACGTGTGGAGTCGAGGAAGGAGAGGAACATTAATTGTGTCTGTTATTTTTACGTGTGAAGTCGAGGAAGGAGAGGAACATTAATTGTGTCATTTATTTAATTATTTTTTTTGATAGGAATAATAGGCCTCATTAAAAACCTCCCTCTTAGTTAGTTCTTGGAAAGAGTAACTATCGGAAGGAGGAAAAGAGTGCCTTAGTTTATTGAATAGAGAAACTATTACAATAAATTATACCAATACAATTAGGGCATCAGAATAAAACTATAATCTTAAAACACCCTATAAAAATACCCTTACAATCAACCAATCCCATCCTTAGCTAATTTATCTGCTTCCCAATTACATCCCCTAGGAATCCATCGAATAATAATCGCCCTCTCATGAACTAAGGACACAATATCCTCAACAAGTGAACTGAAGAAACTAGGAACAGAATTAGGCAGCAGAATCCAGTCTACAGCAGATTTACAGTCACTTTCTAGGATCATATTTATGAGTATCTTATGTCATTAGAAGTCTTTCCGTAGTTGGAGATTTGATTTATTAAGTCTTATTTGAACTATATAACCTCTATTTGAGAGGCCAATTTGGAGGAAATAAAATCAAGTATTTTTTCAAGATTTAAGATTCTCTCTAATAAGTCTGGGGTCTGGAATTCCCTTTGATAAGTTCTACTGTTAATCTGAAACATACAATTGTTACAATTTGGTACGATTGTAACACTAAAGTTCTTCCATAACATATAGTATTATTTAAAGAAGATATACCGGAGGGGGGGTACAAGTTAAATAAAATTTACATGGTTGGCACGTAAACTTCATTTTTTTGGCTATAAAGGTAATTTCGAATGGGAGGAATTTAATATTGAATTTCAACTGGAAAATGGATATAGTTAACATGTATGCTTATTTGTCTATATATAGTTTCAATTGCAACTTTTTTCTACTGCTCTGGTTGTAAATAACTGCCTGCAATTGATATCTTTTCAGGTGTACTCTGTACTTCATTGCATGTTATTTTTCTCGGAAGGGATCTCAGGTTAGTCCTCAAACTGGTTCCTATTGAATCTGGAATCGGTGCCTCTCAATTGCTTTCACTGTCTCTATGTAATGATAGGCGGATTTATGTGTTATTTTCAATTGTAAGCATGGAGTTTTCTGTTTTTCCTTAAAATTCTAGATATGATATTTTATCTAAATCTCTCTTTTGAAAAGAAACAAGTATACAAGGCCTCCCATATTTTTCTCAAAAAAAGAAGAAGAAAAGAAACAAGTACAAGAATCTTGTCAATTTGGTTGAATAAAATATAATTAATCACCTTTTTATTTCAAGTTCAAGCCGGCATCAGTTTTTTTTTTGTGTGCACACGATAGGAATGGGTGTTGGTTAATGAAGGGAAATTTGAATAAATCCTTGACAAGTTATTAAGTCTAAAAATTTATTGTATTATTTTCAATTGTAAGCATGGAGTTTTCTGTTTTTCCTTAAAATTCTAGATATAATAATTTATCTAAATCTCTCTTTTGAAAAGAAACACACAAGTATAAGAATCTTGTCAATTTGGTTGAATAAACTAGAATTAATCATCTTTTTATTTCAAATTCAAGCTGGCATCAGTTTTTTTTTGTGTGCACACGATAGGAATGGGTGTTGGGATATTAATGAAGGGAAATTTGAATAAATCCTTGACAAGTCTAATAATTTTATTGTATTATTTTGGCTATTTGATTTTTTCAGGGCGACATTAGGGACATTTTACATCTACGGAAGTATCTTCTAAGAGCAACTTTGGGCTCTCTTAGCTGGAATGTATGTTTGCTCTTGATTCCTATACCACTGCTGTCCTTTATTTGGCATGATATTTGATGCTAGTCGTTGCTCCTTTGAGTTAGCATAGAAGGTAGAACTTTTTTTTTTGATAGGAATAGGAGGTCTCATTAAAAACCCCCTTCTTAGTGGACCTTACCCGTCTAGCGGAAGGAGGAAAAGAGTACCTCAATTTATTAATGACAGCCAAGTTACATAAGACTTAAAAACACTTTTACATACAACATAAGACCTCACACACTCCTCTAGCTTCTAGGCTCAGAAACAAATACCAACTGAAACAGACAAAAAAATCACCCGATCCTCTCTTTTGCTAGCTTGTCAGCCTCACAATTATGAGGAATTGCTGTTCCATTCCTTATTCTGTGTTGAACGGTAATGCAAGTTCAGTCAAAAGGAATAGCATTATGAGATCTCCCGGTGGCAAGGAATAGGAAAGACTGTTAGGACAAATTTACCCTTGCATATTTTATGTATTTTTTGTTATATTATTTTTCTCTCTCTCTTTCTACTGTTTATTTTCCAGATTTTCCTTCATTTCTCAAGCAATTGCACCAATGTTCTTCTACATATAGATGAAAATATTGAAGCATGACTGATGCAATGAAAGATTTTAAGCTAAGTGTAAATATTAGCAGAAAAGAAAAATGAAACCTGGAAATATCAATCTCAACCTCCGGTAAAAGACCCTCAAAATTTAGTTTAAAATTATGCTATTCTGGTAAATATAACGTCTGTAAATACATAACTTACATAAATATCTTTTTTTTTTGATAGAAATTACAGGCCTCATTAAAAACCCCCTTCTTGATTAAAGGAATTCTTGGGAAAATTCCTTAATCATTGGAGGGAGGAAAGGAGTGCCTTAGGATTTTATTGATCAGTGACTCATTACATACAATACAACCAAGATACACTGACAAAGCCATAAAAATTACATAATATTTAAACAAAACTCCCTAACCGACCAAACCTTCCTTAAACAATAACAAAACTTTCCCAGCCCCTTCAGCCTTAATAGACCAAGAACCTGCTAGAAAACCTTTATGACCCTCAATAATATTCATCCAATCCCCTGTTTAGCTAGAGAATCAGCCTCACAATTGCAACTCCTCGGGATATGTCTAATAATGATTTCCCTCTCCAAGATTATGGAAGCAATTTTTTGAACCAACGAACTAAGAAAACGAGGAGATGAAGTCGGCAACAAAATCCAATCCACCACTGACTTACAATCACTTTCTATAATTAACCTTCCTTCCAAAGCCCAATCCGTCGAAAGGAAGAAATCAATGCCTTTCTCAATGGCTTTCAGCTCAGCGAGTGGGGGGGGTCCTGGACCAACAACGTGCGAGAAAGACCCTAGAATTTTACTATCCGAGTCTCTTAAAATGCCCCCAATACCCCCCAGCAGCCCATCCCCACTAACTGCCCCATCAACATTAACTTTAAAAAAATGAAGTGGAGGAGGACTCCATCCCTGCACCTTCATCCTTTTATGGTCACTACTCTGATGCTTATCTGCAAGTGTAGGATCCCCTACAAGAGAGTCAACCTGGATGGAAACATTCGGGTACTTGGCTAGGAACCATTTAACCAATCTGAATCTGCATATGAAGAAAAGAGTATATCTGTCCAGTTTCCAATCTTCAAAAACCACGGAGTTTCTTGCCTTCCATAATGACCATAGAACTACCCCCGGAATAAGGCTCCATATAATTGACTTAGGCCTTAAGTCCGACCAAGAACACAGCAAAGAGACTGGATCTTTAGGCAACACAGACGAGACTCCCCATAACCTCCAGAACTTACTCTATATGTCCCATGCAAGCAAACACGATATGAACAAATGTTGAACTGTTTCCTCCTGTTTGGCACAAAAAGGACAAAAGACCTCCTCCAAAAGAACTCTTCTAATCAACTACGTTCTAACTGCCAATCTTTGATGAGCAACCTGCCAAAGAAAAGTTTCGACCCTAGGAGGAGCCAAACCTGACCAAACAAACCTTTTCCACATGAAATTACCCCCTGAGTTGGAAGAAAGGGTCAACCTGCAAGCTTTAGCAGTGAACAATCCATCTCCCTTCCCCGACCATGCCAGAAAATCTTCCACCGAATCCGAGAGACCTACATTCTCCAATAATGACATCAAGAGAATCAAGTGATCCAACTCCAATAATTTACATAAATATCAATCTCAACCTCCGGTAAAAGACCCTCAAAATTTAGTTTGAAATTATGCTATTCTGTTAAATATCACATCTGTAAATTTCTATTAGATTGGGACAGGATTGGGGTCCAAAGCCCTTTAGATTCTTCAATTATTTGCTAGAAGAAGAAGGTTTTCAAGAAATGATGGAGAAGGAGATAGCGAAGACAAAGAAGGGGAGAAGGAGAAACGGTGTTATGGGCTTTCTCAAAAATTTTAAAAAGTCAATAAAGGGGTGGTCGAATAATGAATACTCAAAGACGTCAGGGTCGATTCTGGAGATTGAAAAGAAGATTCATAGGATGGAGGTGGCATTACAGCAGGGGTCTGTGGCATTTTCAAGGGAAGAACTTATGAAAGCTAGAAGGGATTTGTGGGATTGGTATCGAAAGGAGGAGCAAATTTGGTTTCAAAAATCTCGGGTTAAATGGATTAAAGGTGGCGATAAAAACTCGAGATTTTTTCATCGAAGTGATGCGAATAGAGGTAGAATTAACGCAATTAAGTATTTAAGACTAGAATACAAAATGGTTTCGAACCCGAAGCAGATAAAGAAAACAGTCCGAGACTATTTCAAAGCTGCCTATAATCAGAAGAACACCCTAGATGTGGATTTGATGGATTTAAATTTTTCCTGGATTTTAGAACATAGGTCACTTTTGGAAAGGCCTTTCTTAGAGGAGGTATGGGAGGCTATTGCTTAGACGAATAGCAACAAAGCGTCGGGTCCTGATGTTTTAAGTATGGGCTTCTTCAAGAAATTTCGGTCCAAATTATAGGCCGAGATAATGAGATTTTTCAACGATTTCTTTGGGGGGGAAAGATTTGGAGAATGGAATAAATCATTCCTTTATTACGCTCGTTCCTAAGAAGTCAAGCCCGAAATGCTTGGATGATTATAGGCCGATTAGCCTTGTGGGGGTTCTTAATAAAATGTTATCAAAGGTTCTTGCTAGGAGATTGAAAGGGTGTATTGCTGATGTAGTTGGGCCATCATAGTTTGCTTTCATCCTGGGTAGGCAGATTATGGACTTTTCTTTCTTGGAAAATGAATGAATAGATCATTGGAGGAAAAAAGGACTAAGAGGGGTGGCTTTTAAAGTGGATTTTAGGAGGGCGTATGACTCTGTCGAGTGGGGCCTTTTGCTAAAGATCATGGAGAAGACGAGATTCGGAAGCAGGTGGTGTTCATGGATATTCAAGTGCATTTCGTCAGCATCCATTTCTATTCTAGTCAACTGATCACCGACAGAAGAGTTTAGGATCGCTAGAGGGCTTCGGCAAGGGTGTTCTTTGTCCCCTTTGTTATTCAATCTGGTCAGGGAATTACTAAATTTGATGTTGTCTAAGGTAGTAAATTTGGGTTTTTTCTACGGTTTCAAAATTGGGAAGGAAGGGAATTCTTTCATGCTATCTCATCTACAGTTTGCGGATGATCTGTTAATTTTCTGCAATGCCTCTATGGGTTAACTGAAGAATATAAGTAGAGTGCTACGAATTTTTGAGTTAATGTCGGGTCTGCAATTGAATTTGGGGAAGAGCATAATTGTTGGAATTAATATGGAGGAGATTGTTATGAAGGAATGGGCAGATGAACTCGGTTGTGCAGCGGGGGAGTTTCCAACTGAGTATCTGGGGCTGCCTCTTGGTGCGAAGAAGAATTCAACAGTACTTTGGGAGTCGGTTGTTCAAAGATTTTACAAAAAATTAGCCGGGTGGATAGCGGCATCCTTGTCATTAGCCGAGAGAGTTGTGTTAGTAAAATCAGTACTTATTTCCTTGCCCATATATTTTCTGTCAATTTTCAGAATACCAACCCTTGTCTTAAAGAAGCTAAATTCGATTATGGCCAAGTTTTTGTGGGGAGGGTTGGAAGAGAAAAAGAAGATTCATTGGGTGAATTTGGTCTATCGTGTGCCAACCTAATTTTTTTAGGAGGCCTTGGTATTTTACATTTGAACCTTCTAAATAGAGCATTCCTGGGGAAATGGGCTTGGAAACTTGCGATAGAAAGGGACACTTGGTGGAAAAGATTGGTGTGCAGCAAGTACAATGTAGATCCGAGAGGTATTCGGATTGAATTTACGGCATCAAACAGAGCATCTTGGATTTGGAAAGGGATTCTGAACAATTGTGAGGAGGATGTTTTTGGGTAGTGTTTTCAAAATCATTTAAGATTTCAGGTTGGGAATGGTGAATCTTTAAGGTTCTGGTTTGATAATTGGTTGGGTGGTTACCCTCTTAAAGTGCAATTTCCGAGATTGTTTGCATTATCAGTTAATAAGGAGGGAATGATTGCTGACTTTAGATGCAGAAATCAATCGGGATGGTGTTGGAACATCCCTTTGAGAAGAAACCTTGCTGATTGGGAGGTAGTGCAATGGTTAAAGCTAAATTCCTTGCTTCATAATTTTCATAGCAATGAGGAGGAAATTGATGGATGCATATGGCAGGGAATGGGGAGGGTATGTGAAGGTTATTGTATGAATGACAACATATATATATTCTGCTTGGACGAAGCAGGTCTGGATTTGGATGGCACCCCCGAGAGTGGAGACCTTTCATGATAAGTACTTCATAAGAAGCTGGTCGTTAAATCGGAGTTTGCTAAAAGAAGCTGGTCAATGTACAAAAAAGAGGAACATATTTGGTTTAAAAAATCTCAAGTGAAATGGATTCAAGACGGAGATCAGAATTCTCGATATTTCCATAAGTGCGCTTTAAATAGGGGAAGAATAAATGGCCTGAAGATATTGAAAGTGAATGGTAAGGT